AACTGGGAAGTACTTAGTCAAGGTAGCTCGAAATAAAGGCCAAAATAAATAGCACTCCTTCATAGACCCTCCAGCTAACTGACTTGAGAAAGTCACTGCACAGAGTAAAAATGGACTAATGGCTTCAGAGCAATTAGGCAGAGTAGACAACAGCCAGAACACCTGTGGATAAAGGGCAAATATAATGGTCTATGTTCCAGCTTTGGCTAAAAATACCTCCAGCTGCTGACCACAAAAAGCTGGGAGTTATGTAAAGGGAGAAGGAAACTCCTCACAGTGCCATTCTTGTTTCCCCAGCCATTTCTCAGGCTTCCAGCAGTGGCACTGGGACCTGAGCTGCCCCTGTTTCTGCAGAGGAGATGGCTCTGCCACCACTGCAGGGACAGCCCAGTGAACCTGGAGGTGCAGGAGTTTCCTGGGAGAAGCTTTTCACTCTCCACAGGCGGGGCCTCCATAAACTTCAGCTTTCTTGTGCCAAGAAAATAACACATTTATTTTACTTTAACTTGATTTTAATGGTAGATGTAGAAGGTGGTTTGTTTTTTGTTTTGTTTTGTTTTGTTTTCCTGGAGGTACAATCTCCTTCATCCCTTGAGTGAATAGGTGAGGAAAAGAGGTCACTTGAGGAGCTCAGGTGTGCTCTTTTCTGCACATTAATCTTAAACCATTAATCAGAGTCTGTATGTGTGCTCACAAGATGAGAAAGAGTTGCCAAAGGGCTGATAATTAACACATTTATTTGAATGCTGAAATTGTACAAAGCCAGTTGAGAAAATGAGTATAAATTTGAACTGCTAGTGAAGATACAGATCTAATTTTTTCCTTGTCTCCCAGAATCTCCAAATCAAGATTAAGTATTTTTTAAGAAAACACACTCCAGATCAACTCATTGTTGAATTTATTTTCTAGCTGTGGCATTACAGCTTGTCAGCTGTAAAAGTGTTTAGGTCCTTTTAACCTTATGTTCTGAATTTACAGAGGGGCAGGTTGGACTTAAATGGTCCATATAAACAATCTCTCATATGCTGCCTTCTTCCACATGCACAGCTGGTGAGTTCTTCATCATTCCTAATTACGATGCAGGTTGATGGAAAATTACTTCTTTGACAGAATCTGTAGCAAGAAGTGGTGTGAATTTAAACAAGAATTGAGACTCCCACTGAGACTTTTATTAGCAGAAAAATCAAAGATCTGCAAAATGTATTTTCTTTTTTTTTCCCCTCAGCATTACTGAGTCTTCTGATTCCAGAGCATGCATAGACCTCTGCCATTACAGACAGACCTGGGCACATATCAGAGATTAAAAGTAACTTTCCAGATCTATCCCCACTAATGCAATATGTTTATAAAGGGTCCACAAGGAGCAGTTGAAAACTCTGTCATATTTTTCAGTATAACTACAGGTACCAGTGGTCAGGAAAAATTGCTGTTTTCTTGTTTAGCTGTTTGCCAAAACTGCATTTCACATAAAGAAGAAATATCTAGAAGCATTTGGATCCTACTATAGTCTGTCCAGTACAATTCAAATTGGCACTATGTCTGCATTTAATCAGCTCCCCAAAATGTCTGCTTGTCTAAACTATTCTCAATGAAAAAGAATCCCACTAATAACAGAGAATCTAGCATAAAAATCTAAAGAAACTATTTCTATAAATAATTAAGTCTAGACTTAAAATCCAGATTGGTGTAAACATTGACTGCTGATCTTCTGGACAAAATGCAAAAATCTGCTCAAATACTTGCGGTTTAGGAATCTGTTTTCATGGGGAGAATGACTAATTTACCAAACCTAGGGTTGGTGTATGCTGTGGGTAGTTCTATCTTTCCCTTACATTCTGTAGTTGACATTCTTTTTCCAAACCTGCTGCAGTTCAACAAGATCCTGAAGAACCTGCCTTTGTTCAGAAGAACCACTCACACATGATGAATGAACAATGTGCTTCATGCCTGTCTGAATGGGACTGAATGAACAAATTGTGTTATTTATCTACAACTTCTTATCCAAACACACGGAACACTTAAAGGGGAAAAAAATTAAATATTTTTGATAGTCCCTATTCCAGACAGAATCCCTCTGTCTGACAAGGGAGCTGTTTACATGACTGTGACCTGAACTTTCAAACAGCTGCAACTCTTTGTTTTACAGGAGACCCTGAGCTGTGCTTGACCTCCTTGGAGTTGTTTGAGTACAGATGATGAAGCTGGAATCATGAAATGAGTACAAACACAGGAATGGGCCCTTGCTGCTGAATCTGCTTCCAAAGCTATAATGCAGTTTCTTCTGCATTGTGGTCTGTGAGCATTACCTCATCCAAAGCCAGTCTGAAATCACACAAAGCAGGGAACATCTTGCTGAAGGAGGTAGAAGGAAATGTTGCATCAGTTCTGCACAAGCAAGTCAGGGGTTTCTCCTCTCCTGCAATAGCACTCATCTGCTGTTTGCATGTACAGCAGCTACTACCCATTATCTCTTCTGTGCAATTGCAGGTCCTCAAGGCATTGCTTTGTGCAGTTCCAGTGACCTGAGTGGAGGATTTGGGCTGCCTCTACCAGACCCGTCATGTTCTGTGCACAAAACAACATCATCCTTTCTGCCATTTACTGAGCCACTTTATTAGGGTTGCAAATAAAGTCAATAGCTCTAATCATGCTTTTGGTCATTGTGAATCCTGGCTTGGCTAGGATTGGAGATAAACATCTCATTTCAAATAAGCTACTGAGCAGATGGTAATGACTTTTAATCACAAGCAACACAAGGAAAATCTGAAATAAAGCCCTTGAGATGAATAGTTTGGTACATAATTCCCACCATTTTGAATGCTAAATAACCTTGCCCCACAAAGAGTCATGTGAGATTTATGTACACATACACTTCCAGCAAACTAAAATACTGGCAGTCACTAATTGTTTTTCACAATTTTTTATTTTGGGCTCTTATCCAATGCCCACTGAAGTTAAACCAAACCTCTTCTTTCTAAGCCTTCAAAGACTCCATCTGCTGCAATTACCAAGTGTTGTGTTTTAATTATGGATGCAGAAGTTTGGGAGACCTACAAGAATTTCCTGCTCAATACTGAAAACAAGAGTGGGGGTAGTTTCTTTAGACACCTGAAACTCTTCCCTTAAAAAAAAAAAAAAAAAGAAAAAAAAATAACAAAAAGCTGTTAGCCATTTGCTGAAACAGTACTGGGGGTCAGACACTGCCCTCAGCTCATAGCCTGTGTCAGGATAATGGCCTCATTTTTGACACTTCTCAGTTTAGGTCAATCCTGAGAAGACAGCACAGGGAGTTTTTTACAGGGCATGTCTGCTACTGCATTTTTGGAAAGTTGAGACACATTAAGGGCAACTTTATGCCAAGAGTGGAGCTCTCATTTCTGTATAATCTCCCTCTGATCCTCTGTGATGTGGTCAGAGCAGTCTGCTTGCCCAACGATATTGCTGGCCATGACAGTGTGACAGGTTTGTATTTCAGTCCTTGTGCTGCAATCTCCCTGCCTGGAAGCTCACTAACACCATTTCTTAATGGTCATGTTTAAATAGTTTTGCTGGAGCCCACTTAGAGAACAATCTGTGTTCAAGAGCTTTTTAGCAGGGAATTGGTGAGAATTGGTTTCAAACAACCTGATTAAACCATGTCTGCAACAAAATCTCCATCACCATTTACAATATGCCTTCCAAAAAAGTGCTTAGATTTTAACTTCATGTAATCAGTGGTGGTTTTCCTGTTGAATTCTTCCACCAGTGTGGCTTTGCCATTTTCTCTTCCAGAGAAGGACTCATACCCCAATTCCATGTCCTGCAAAGACCTGCACCACTCACCAGAGAATCCACCCTCGCAGCTTATGGTAACAGTGAATATTTCCACAGCCGCATTACAGCTCTGCAGATGAGATCCAAGCAAATAAGGTGCCTGGATAATACTATGCATGAGAAAAGTGCAGGGGAGGCTGGTTGGCATTGCTGGAGGCAAGAAGCCATCCCCACTCATGGACACAGCGGTGGCAGCTGCAGCTGGAAGCTCTGTGCCCTCTGCAGCTCTGGGGAAGGCATGGAACGAACCACTCCAGCACAGGCTGGAAACCCACACAGGGACCTTGATCCTGCTCTGCACAGAGACAGCCATGGACTTCAGCAGGAAGATTTGCTTCTCTCAAGCTCTGGAAAGGTCTGGGAACATGCATGGCCCTTAGACATAGGTGTTCTTTTAGGTGCTTCTTCATGGTTTCATCTGCAGGCTCTTGCAAATGAATAAATCCATGAATGAAGCATCCAAGCTCTTGGTACCTTGCTCAAGCATGACTTGTTTAAATGTCTTGGGAGCGTTGTCAGAGAAACGAGTCTGTACGAATCAGAGCTGGAGAGGAAAACCCACACACTGTACTCATGAATGGAGGCGAGAGATCCGAGAGAAGCCTTCCCAACACTCTTTTTATTAAAACACGTACAGAGGCAGGAAGATTAATGGAAACAGCAACTAGTCAGCAGAATATCACAGAGTCAATTCGGTTGGAAAAGGCCTCTGAGATCATCGAGTGTAACCTATGACAGAACATCACTGTGTCGAGCAGACCGTGGCACATCCAGCCTTTGAGCACCTCAGGGACGGTGACTCCACCGCCTCCCTGGGCTGCCCGTCCCAGCGTCTAATCACCCTTTCTACAAAGAAATTCTTCCTAATACCCAAACTAATCCTCCCGGCGCAGTTCTTGTCCTGTCAAAATACAATTCTTTCCATCTGGGCATCGAAGGTACGGCTCACACTTGTCAGCGACCTTCCCCAGCGATGCCTGCAAACCGCTCTGCGTCTGGTGGAGCCGCCCCCAGACAATTTTGCGGTTGGTTTTTGGTTTAGATTTTTAGATTGATTGGCTTTAGATTTTAGCAAGGAGCTTTGCTCCGTTTCCACACTGAACATCCGCCGATGCCCTCGCCGGCGCCTCCCTGAGCGACCTCAAAGCGTCCCTCACGGCTCCTCCCTCGCGTCCCGCCCGCGCGGCGCGGCTGCCGGCGGCATGGCGGGGGAGGCGGGCGGCGCCGCGCTGGGCCGCGCCGCCGAGAAGCTCTTCTCGCTCAGCGGGCTCTTCGCCGTCCGCAAGCCCAAGGGACGCACCTCGGCCGCCGTGCTCAACCTGCTCAAGGAGAGGCTGCTGGCAGGTGAGCGGCGCAGGCCGGGCCGCCGCCTCCGCGCAGTGCGGGCCAGGCGTGCCCTGCCCGGATGGAGCCGGGTGTGCGCGGGCCTTGCGGTGCGGGAGCTACAGCTCCCGGCGGGTCACTTCACCCTCTGCTCAGCGCTTTGGAAATCGATGAACACGCGGGGTTTAGCTTCTCTTTGTGGGTTGGTTGTTTGTTTTGGTGGTACTTCATAGCCGTGGCACGGCCCACTTCGGAGAATGGAGCCATTCCTGGGTGCGTCCTGGCCCGCTGCGCCAGGGGAGGCTCAGGCTGGACAATGGGAAGAATTTATTCACAGAAAGCGTTAATTGGGATGGGTGGAGCAGGGAGCTGGTGGAGTTGTGTCCTTGGGGGGCTTTAAGGAAAGACGGTCCCAGGCAGGCAGAGTTGGTCGCACTGCAGGGTGAGCTGTGGCACCACACGGCTCTTGTGGCAGGCACCTGCTGCGGGCAGGGGGCAGCGGGACGGAGCCCTGGAACTGGAGGGATGCGATTTTCCGAGCTGGAACCTGCGGTCCTGCTGGGCTCAGTGCAGGGCATCCCAGGCTGCTTGGAGAGCTGCGCCAGGGTCCCAGGGACAGCGTGTGCCCATCTGCTAGAACCAGTGCCAGCAGCATCTCTGCGGCACAGCACAGCACTGGCAGGGTGTTCTGCTGCAGTCCCACTGCCTATTGCCATTAAAAAAAATATCACCAAAGGAGTGAAAACCAAAGTGTTGAAAAAAGTTTGAAAGTCCTGGGCAAAGTCTGCAGAAACTGCTCTTTCTGAGCAGTCAGATATTAAGGGAAAAAAAACCTCGAGATCATTGTAAAGGTGTGAGCAACTATGGCCTAGATTCTTTTAATAATGGATATGGGGACTTGATCATCTAGTCTGGGCTTTTAGGCACTTGCTGAGGAAGTGAGAACATACTTTCAGACTAGTGATTTACTCTGTAGTGAACTGTAGTGTAGGCACACACCTTATATGGAATTATCAGGTTCCTGAAATGGAGAGATAATAGATATGGATAAAGGAACTTAGAGCATTTGTCATATTTAATACTAATAAATACAGGGTATTGGATTCTGCAAAATTCCTGGAGTCATCAGCTGTGTAGGAAGTTTGCTATGTTGGGACACTGACAGGTTGAAAGCAGCAGTGAGTAAGTTCAGTCCACTGCAGAAGTGCCATAGGGCTGTGTATATGCAAATAAACATGTCTCAGTATAAGGCAGTAAATACATCAAGAATTGGCTCAGATTATATAACATAAAACTTGTTATAGTAGATGTTTTGAAGACTCTGCTGCTGGTTCTTCCATGCTTTGTTAATGAAACTTCACAGGTTTGCTACCAATACTTTCCAAAAAGCTGTTTGTAACAGTATGTGAGACTTCATTAGAATGTAAGCGAAAATACCTTGCAAATTGTTTGAGGTTGGGAGTAAATTTAAATTAATCATTGATCTTCAGCAGTACAGTAATTTCTACACTGCTAATTAATAGTTTAAATATTTGATTTTTATTTCCTTTAGAAGTCTGGAAATGTGTGCCATTTTTCCTACATTCTAAGGCTATTTTATAATGCTTCCTTTTCATTTCTATTTGCAGAAGCTGGTGTGCAAACAAAAGGGAACAAAAGAAATCAGGTTTTGAAAATTGGACATGGAGGGACTTTGGACAGTGCAGCCACAGGAGTCCTGGGTAATGAAAAACATAATTATAGTCATCAAAATATGATTTCAGGAGACGTTTTCATGCCTGCGTGAAGTCGGGTGGAAGAACAATTTGGGATATACTTGGCAGGTTCTGGGGGAAGGACAGAGTACTGTGGAAGAATGGTCTGGGTTAAATTTCCTGTGCATATACTTCTACATGCATGTAACATGTTTCTTAGCAGAAGGCTGTGTTCTTCCTTCCTGCCTTCTCTCTTCCAAATCCTGAAACAACTTCTGGGTTATTACATGTGGGAAAATACAAACACTTGTGTAATGAATTGTAAATTACCTGAGAAATTGATGGCTTTTTTAACTTAAGCTGGGGATTTATAGTCATCATACTCTGTTGAATTATTTTGTCTCAAGGTAATGCTATTCTGGGATTTTGAGGGAGCTTTTAGAGCTGCTAATACATACCAAAAAAAAGATGTATAAGAACAATTCAGCTGCTGCTTGTCTTGAAGCTCAGCACAGAAAAGCTTTTAGGTACCTGTCCTGTCTTGCTTCGTAAAGAAGAATCTTCAAAGATATTTTGTCTTTTAATTTCAATATCAATCCATGTATTGGATTTTTTTGTTTTGTTAAAGAACAGGATGTGTCAATTGCTGGTGTTAAAACCTCAGCTGTGGGTGTGATTATTCCCACATCATACTTTGTCACCAGCAGTTTTATTGATAAGTAACATGCAGACTACAGCTTGCTTGGATCATAACCTTGTAGCTCTCCTTGGCTTGGAGAAATAACAGCTATACGTTTTTGCTGGTGAAAATAAACAGGTACAACTCTGAGTGTACACTGAAAGTAAATGATCTGAGTTTTGATGAATGACTTCTCTCAGAAGAATTCAGCTTCAAGGGCAGGTTGGTTGTTAAAAGTGTTGCTAGAGGTCTGTAGCTGGTAATTGTCACTTGTGAACATGGCAAAATGTGACATTCTTGGGTTAGAATGGAGCACTGCCTGGTTTGGTTTGAATTTCTTGTACTTTGTGGCCACTCACTAGAGAATTCAGTGTGCATTCCTGAAGCAGACATTTTCCTTTTACAAAGGTGTTCTCTCTGAGCATGCTACAACTTCTCATTGTGCAAAGTCAACAGCATTGATCCATAGGAAATGGAAAATCACTTGTGCTTTCTAAATTGCTTCTCCAACTGTTCTGATACCCAACAGTCTCCAAAGCATGCTTTTAATGGCGTGACAAAAAGTATTTGGGCTTGATGTGCTTGGTATAGATAGAGAAGCACATCACCCTAATTAGCTGTGGATGGATTGAAAAAAGGTATAGGGTCTGTCATTCGATTTCCATACAGAATATACAGGAAAAAATCAATGGTAGCTGGATTGGAAGGGACAAAACTGGACAGGAGAGGGAAAGGGAATGTGCCCAGATTTCTTGTGTGTTCAGGTAAGGTAATGAGGAGGGAGGGAAGGATACAGGAGAAACAAGTTATTGTGAGTAATAACTTTTCAGGATTGAGTGGTGGAGCAGGAAGTTTTCCTTCTTCATGGACAGGAGCATGATTTGTGATCTGTACTGCTGTCTCCCAGGTTTTATGTACTGCATGTCTGTAACTTTGTTCTTGGGAATTAATTGATACAGAGTGCTGCTTAGTGTGCCAGGTGTGCTGCCAGTCACTGAGCAGTGTTCTTTATCAGAAAACATACTTTTATATTTCTTCTCTTACTGACAGCAAGTGTAAATGAGGAAGGGCCTTGGAGACAGAGGTCAGTGATCTATGACATGAGAGAAAGGCAAGGTCAAGTCTTGGTGAATATCTTCTTCTGGTATTACTCTAGGGCTGTGGTTCCAGCTTGCTGTTTCTTGGTGTGTAGTGGGAATTTTATTTGGCTTATTTTTATATGGCAGTAATAAATTCTGCCTCCACAGTAGAAGAAAACATGAGAAAGTATAAAAAATTAAAATTCAGTTAAATCTTTCTACGTTCAGTATAATCTCTCAAGTGGGGTTTGTGTCACTGTTCAATAACACACATTCTCCATAAGCTGATGATTAATGGAGAAAATTGTTAGTATCTTGTTCACAAAATCATTCAATGTTGCTTTAAAATTATTCTGTTGAATCTCTTGACACTCTTCAGCAAATTTCAGCTCAGCTGTTAAGGTTATGTTCAGTTATGTCATCATGTTGCAAGAAAAGTGCTTGGTTATAAAGTCTTATCTGTGTGCTTATCTGGTTTTCTAAGCCTTCTTGCAGCTCTTTCCTATCTGGCAAACAACAGGAACAGGTTGAGCTGAAGATGCATGAAAGCAAAAGGCCATGTGTGACTGAAAACCCTCAGGAATAAGAGGAGTAGTGATTGAGAGCAAGGAAGAATCTAGTGAGTCTCAGAGCATAAAAATTGAGAAGCATTAGAACATAAGTAAAAAAAATTGTTTTTTCAAAGTTCATTATCCATTTGATGTTTTCAATCTTGGCTCTTGATTAACATGAAGCTGATTTTCTGAATGCTTCCTTCACTCCTCTAGTTTTATTAAAATAAAGTACATAAGCTGTCACACATTCTATGAGTTGTACACAAAACTAATTTCCTTCTAGAATTTTCTTCGGATTGCTGTGTGTGGAAAAATCAATAGAAAAGCATTTTAAAGGCAAGCATCTTGTAAAAAGCTTTAAAGTAAAATATAAAACAGAGCTCTTTTTCTGTCTCTTTCTTTTATGAAAAGCTGACTGATTGCTGTTTTTTAGAATACTGGTGTTAAGATTGAAATAACGGTAATCTGTGCGTGCACAGTAATAGGCATTTGGACCTTTTGATTATTTACTTTCTTCCTGCAAGTCTGATAAACAATTCTGTTCTGCTGTCTTGCTGTATTACTCTTGGTCACTGTCAACCTTTAAAAGGACTATTTGTTTATAATGAAGGGTTCATTCATTATTGGTGAGCCATAACCTTCATCAAATCAGAGTCAATGTTAATTGCACTTTCCATTTCTTTGGTGATTAAAAGATAAGTAAGTGTAGGAGTTGAATTAAAGTATTTTAACAATAGATGAAGGCTATTTATCTTTTGCTTTAGACCCTTTTTCCTTTCACTAGTTCCATGTTGTTTGAACATCAGAGATGCTTTCTCAAAAGTGTTGACTCTCTTCATATGCTAACAGAGCATGAAAGGCTGAGTTTCTGACTTGCATAATATTTGGTATTGAATGGTGTTGAAAAAGGGAACTGCAGGGCTGTTTTGAAGTAGCATTTCTTCTTCTGTCTTTGCAGTGGTTGGTATTGGAAAAGGAACAAAAATGCTGGGGACTATGTTGGCAGGTTCCAAGGTAAGGAATGCTGAGTGACTTGTAAGAGGGGGGTTTGTTTGCTGGTTTTCTTCTTTCTGTCAGTAAAGAACTGAACCAACGTTCAAATGTCAGCCATGCTGCATTTTTTGTTCAGATGTATACTTCAGCTCCTTTTTGCAGTTAGTCAGAAATGTGCTACTCAAACTTTAATGTCCAAAATGGTTATTTAAAAAACTTTGTTTGCCTCAGTTTTCTAAGAAGTGTTAATAAATACCAAATTACCAATTTATAGGAAGATTTCTATACTATTTAGTATATTGGAAAAAAGGAAAGAAAAACTAATGGAGATAGCACTGAAACTGATGTTTTGGGGACGTAGTTATGGATGACAGTTCGATTTTTGTTAATTTTCCTTATGTGTAGATAACTTCATTTGTATTTAGCATAAAGTAACAGATGGTCTTTGTTTCTTTGCTGTCTTCTTAAATACCAAGAGGCCTTAAGAGGCACTTTTTGGAATTTGGAGTGTTTTGGATTGCATTGCTGCTGTTGTAGAGGGATGTTCTACAAATACAACAGACACATGTGAGAAGCCAAAGGTAGCAAAAGCCCTGTGTCTGCCTGAGAAAATCCACACCAGAACCTTGAAGATAGAAATTTTGTTCATTGCTGGTTTAGCTTAATTTTACTGTGTTAATTTTACTTTGGTGACCTGCCCCAGACTAGGTGTTACATACACAAAAAAGTGCAAGTACTCCCAGGAGTAATGTCCTAGTGTTGATTCCTTCATCACAAGGCAAATCCTGTGGGTTTAGCCATTGTTTTTACATAAGAAGTTTAGATAAGAATGACAGATGTGAAAATCAATTAAACCTTCCAAATTTCATCTTAAATGCAGGAAAAGTCAATAATGCTTTATGTTCTGCTATTTTTCCCACTCTCTTCTAGTCTGAACACTTAAGATCTTTTACAGCTGCTGAACTGTTAGCTTAAAGGTAGAATTTGGTTGACAATCTTCAGTTCAGCTCAGAGGCAAATTGAGAGTAAAGAAAACAACCAGGATAAAAGGACATAGCTGTAGAGTCTGATCCAAAACTCAAGGTAGGCAGTGCCAATCTCTGCACTGGCTGTAATGGGTTGGCATTTGGTTTACATGAGTACATTTCAGAAGCATCTGTGTTCTGAAATGTGCACTTAACAGCTGGATTTACAGTGGAAATGTAAGCAAGTTACCACCTGACACCTCCTTTGAAAGAACTTTGAAGTTAAAAGAAGTCATAGATTGCTTCAGCTAAATTAAGTCATCACAGCTAAATGTGTAAACTGTTGATTTAAAAACATGTAAAGGAATTTATTTAGCTCTTAAGCTGAGGTTCACAGTGGAAACAGCTGTGATAGATGAAGTACTTGCAGCCTTTTTGGCAGAAGAGGGTATGCTCAGGTTCCTTGACAACTTCACAGTGAAGTCCTGTAGCCAAAAACAGGGTTATGCAGCCAAACCTTGTTCCCAGATGGTTCACAGGGCTTAGAGCTGCTCCTGAGGGGCAAGGGCAGGGGGAATGTACCATGGGGCAGCCTGGTGAGCCACCCCAGGCAGATCCATCCCTGGCCTTATGTGGCTCTTGGGCAAAGATGGATCTTGACAGAGCTCAGCAGCTCTTCCACTGCAGCTGTTCCTGTGTGAGGTACCTGACAATCTGTGCCAGATATGGAATCTGCAGCATTTATTTGGAGCCTTTCCTGTCTCTGCCTTCCTGTTTTCTATTTGTGCTTCAATAAATTAAGCATGCAGTAATGTGTGAGGCTTAAGGAAGTTGAAGGATCTCTCACAGATGTCTGCCTGTTGGGTTTTTTGTCCACACTGACAACAGCATCTCATAATGTATCACAAGATAAATTAATGATTAAATAGGTTTGATTATCTTTTTGCTTTCCACACCGTGTGCTTGGAATTTTTACTCTTAATTATTTTTTCCCACTATTTTGAATGCTAAGGTGTTTGTTGAAATGTGATGTTTTTCTTTTGTTCCCTTTGTTATTATAAAGATTCAGAGGAGCTGTCTGACCTTCTCTGGCCAGGATTTACTGCTTGCTTCTAGGAATGCATCTTGTAAAGAAACAGTTCAGTCTATCATTGCTGGCAGCAGAGCTGTGTGGAGTGGCCAAAATGTATGGTACTGCAGTAAACTCCATATGGTGACTCTGCCAGGAATTGGACTGGCTCTGACTTTTTCCCAAACATTGTGTGAAACTTTCCTGACTCTGGCAGCTCTGAGCATTATGCCTTGGTGTGCAACTCACACATGTTCTGCAAGGAGTTCTACTCTTGATGTGTAAACTGAGTTCTTCATTGGTTTGACCTCCTTAGGAATTAACTCAAGGCAAACAGAAATGTACAGCCAAGGGCAATACCTTCTTAGTGTTCCAGATTTCTCATGGAATTCTTAATATTTGTCCAGAAATAAAAATATGTGCAAGCTGGCTTAGCTTTTGTTTGTTTGCTTTTTGTTGTTTCAAATGCTCCAAGTGAGAAGGAGAAGCTGAATGCTCTTGGATCTAGAATTTAAAATACTGAACATTTAATAGATGTTCCATAGTGGAATCACTTTTTCTTCTTGTTCTGGGACTTGCACTTGGTCTTGTTTGGACTTCTTGCACTTCAAGATTTTTAAAGATTTTTTTTTTTTGTTTTACCATGTTGGAAAATAGAGTAGAATGAGAAAAAATTGTATTCTTCACCAGTAAAATTAACTTGAAGGCAGTAGACCAATATTTATTATGGTAATTTTTTTCTGAAAAATTCAGTCTTAGGTATGATTTGTCTGTCTCAAACACAGTGCAGAAGTGTGTTTTTTTCTGGGGGAGAAATGGTTTAGAAAACGATAGCACAGTTCCCAAAGTGGTAGTCCCATTTAAAACATCTCATCTATTAGAATGTGCTGTTACATAGAAGCAATGAGGGAAATAATCATGGGCTAATCAGAGAAAAAAAATGAGAAGCACTAAGCAATGAAATCCTTCATTAATCTAATACTTTCCATTGGGAGATGTCTCCCAACACATTCAGGCTGTATGGATAACTGAGACTTTCAGACTTCAGTTCTGTGCTTGATTTGCTTATTTTTCAGTGACATAGCACCTGGGTTCAGCCTAAGAGAATTTTAGTCATACTGGTGTGAATGAAGAACTTCGCTATCCTTCAAACTGTCCTTGCAGCCACTGCCTCTCCATGAGTGGAAGGCTTGGGGCATGTTGCTTTCAGCTGAGGATGCAACTTCTTGTCATGGTGCACATACACAAAACCTCCCCAAGTGCTCAGTGTGAAGGAAATTCCCTGAGACCTTTGTGCTGGTGGCACAAGCTTGGGCAATGGCTGATTAAAATAGAAAATTTAATCTCAAAAGTTGTGGCTTCTCCAGAATGAAGCTATCAAAAAAAACCCCACCAAATCTGTGGGTAGAGTAAAACCCAAATTCCAAGTGTTCTCAAAGCCTAGAAAAGGAGGAAGAGATTATGAGCAGAATGAAGATACATCTGTGACCTGATATGTGACAACTTTCATTTTATAGGATAGTTAAAATTTGTGTTCTTACGAATCCTGGATAGAAAATGAGTGCTAGATCAGTGATTAGGTTTTAAATCTTGCAAGTCACACTTGCATGGTGTGAGAGAGGGCTTGTCTGAGCAGGAATTGGTTCAAATCACCGAGCAGAACTTCTGAGACATGTAAATTACTTTTTGCAGTGTGATTCTGGGATTACAGTTTGTGTATTGCAAAATTGTTTCTCTGGAGGGGTGGCATCAGGTCCTGCAGAACAAAGTGTCCATAAACAATGTTATTTCTTTAACTTTTGTGTTTACCTTACTGTCCTGTTTTTACTTATTATCCCTTAACTTGTCATACTTTAAACTTTCTCCATGAATTAATTTCTTTTTTTAATTAAGTCCTTTGCTTGCATCTTTTGGCAGTGAGTTCAATGAATTAGTAACACATTAGAAAGCACATCCAGTGGCTCTACAAGTAGCAAAACTAATGAAGCCTTTGCTTGTGACTTGGTTTGTTTACAGCTCGTTAGACACCAAAGGCCCATGTGGACTTTTTGGTATCCAGTAATTCAGTGGGGCTCCCTCTGGACCCTTCTTAGTAGAAGCTGCAATAGATTTATTTGCTCTGTCTGTCTGTTTTCAGGAGGCTTTTAAGAACTCGGCATCTGAGACCTCTATTCTTCTGCCAACATTTGTGTGTTTGCACATTGACATGCACACCATGATGGTGTAAGTCCTATTTCTTTTGAAATTCTAATTTTGATTTTAAACAGCCTCACTGTGCTGGTTTGTTGCTTTTTTTTAGTGTATTTCAGTGTTTGTGCTCCAGTTCATTTATGAGTTGCAAGTGCAAGAAAATTGAGTTGACTTTCCTTTCAAAGGATCCTCTTGGTGGTGTGTGCTCTTACTTTTAGTCTTAAAAATTTCTCTAGACTATCACCAGCTGAGCTCTGTGCTTCGTTGTACTTTCTTTTGGAGTTGGTGAAACCAAACCCACTTATTCACACACTGCATAGGGATGTGTTCTGTTTTCTTTTTCATATTCTGGTATTTTTAACATAGTCTTGGAAGGGCAGGATTTTTGGGTAGTAGGAATAATTTTGTGAGACTAATTGTTATGGTACAGAAAACTAGATGTTCGAAAATGCAAGCACTCTCTCAGATCTAAAATAGAAGCCATAGATTTTAAAACTAAGCATATTAGAGAGTTGTTTAGAACTTAGTGGAATAGGTATTTTTTAGACCATTTGTGAAATTAAAAGTAGGTAATGCTTGTGTGTATGGTTTACAAACAATTCTGTGTGGGCAAGCAGTTACATAGGTAATATCCCTAGACTGTTTCACAAAGATAGGCTACATTTTATTACCTGCTTTAATAAAATACATCAAGAAAACAATTTTATCTCCTGAGTTAGGCAGCAAGGATTTGTTCACAATGGATCAGCCAACCTCCCAGGAACAAGGCAAGGAGGACTTTCTGCTAGCTTGATGAT